AAGAAGAAATGAAAAGAGAAATTACTTGCATAATAGAAAATAAATTTGAAGCTATGGAAGGCAGAATTGACGCAGTTGAAAATAAAGTTGGATATATTGAAGAAAGAGTTTCTTCGGTGAAAGAAGAAATAGAAGAAAGAGTTTCTTCTGTAAAAGAACAAATTGATGAGAGAGTTTCTGCAGTTGCCAAAGAAATGGATACTTTAAAGAAATTCGTAGCGTCGGCAGGGAGCAGGAGTGATGATTTTAAATTCTTACCAATGCCTGCTCGTCCACCTCTGAAGCTATCCACATATGATGGGAAGACCTCCTGGCAGGTGTATAAGACACAATTTTCTATCGTGGCGGATGCGAATGGATGGGATTCCCAAGCTAAGGCCTGTCATCTCGCCGCTTCTCTAAGAGCCGACGCAGCGGATATCCTTCAGACTCTTCCCGAAAACAAAAGGTTAGATTTCGAAGCTCTGTCCGGCGTCTTGGAGTTGCGCTTTGGGGAGAAGTGTTTAAAAGACTACAGCAGGCTCCAATTAAAATCTCGTCAACAGAAGCCTACCGAAACACTTCAGGAGCTCGCCCGCGGATGTTGAAAGGCTGTCCCATCACGCCTTTTCGGAGTGCCCGACAGAAACAAGGGAAATCCTGTCCTTGCAATACTTTCATCGACGGCATCCGAGATACTGAAATACAGAAAGCTCTACGAATGGCGGATGTAAAAGATTTAAAAAGCGCTCTGTTGTACGCCATGAAGTTCGAGAAACAGCCGAAATCATGCTGGTAGTCTGGTGTTTCTTTTCGACCCTAGCAATATCTCGTTAGACAGAAGTCTTCGTTCGAACTCCGAATTCTCCTTCGTTAGACTCAAGAGCACCTTCTATTCGTCTGCAGCGTTCAAAATAAGTTTATCTTTAAACTGTTCAGCTAAATCTTTCCTAATGATGGTAACATTAGCTCCTGTGTCAATGATCATTCTGCAAGGAACTCCATCGATATTCCCATTGATGGACAGTCCGTTATTGTTGCCACTCACTGTATAAATTTTAAGAGCTTTAAAACAAGGTTTTTCACTATCTGGCAAACCTCCGTTCCTCGATATGGTCACTAATTTGTTTACTGCGTTGTTGCTGGGAAATGGTCTTATTTTCCGTACCTCGGGGTGTTCTGCAGTTTCTTCGTATGTGGCCTTCAACTCCGCAGTTCCAGCACTTTAGAATTAGTTTTTTTTTCACTTCTGTTCCGTCTCAAGCCACTGACGTGTCTGGTAAAATCATCTGCTTTATATTCCGTACCCTGGGGAGTTCTGCAATTCCGTCTTAGGTGACCTTCACTACCACATCTCCAACACCTTAGAGCCACTTTCTTCTCGCTCCTACTCCGTATCAAATCTTCGACTTGTCTGGCTAAATCATCTAAACGAGCCATCAGTTGATCCACTGGCTCATGGACTCGCACAGCTCTAACTGGTAGCGATCTCTACTAGTTGCTTGCTGGGCTGCCTCGAACAGCTCCCAGATGCTTTTTCACTCTACATACCTTTGTATTTGTCGCAAGACAAATTACAACATCAACATCGGCTGCTCGAGACCCGTGGGAGTGATGATGAAGTCAGGAAAGACCAGCTGGAAGACCGCGACATTAAACCCATACTTGATTTAATAGAGTCATCAAACAGAAAACCTACATGGCAGGACATTTCTATCTGTAGTCCTACAACAAAACAATACTGGGCACTCTGGGATTCACTTCACATTCGAAACGGCGTCTTATACCGGAAATTCGAGTCGGATGATGGGAAGACGTTCCGATGGCAACTGATACTTCCGAGATCCCGGATTCCTGATGTCCTCAAAGAACTACATAACAGCCTTACAGGAGGTCACTTTGGAATTATGAAGACCTTACAGAGAGTTCGTGAGCGCTTTTACTGGAATAATGCAAAGAATGACGTGCAAAAGTGGTGCCGATCTTGCTATGCCTGTGCAGGTCGGAAAGGACCGAGGAAACGCAGCCGAGGCAGACTGCAACGTTACAACGTAGGTGCGCCTTTTGAACGTATCGCCTTTGACATCCTGGGACCTCTGCCACGAACTGCTGATGGCAACAAATACATACTCGTTGTCATTGATTACTTCACCAAGTGGCCTGAAGCTTATCCTATTCCTGATCAAGAGGCAGTCACAGTAGCTGAGGTAATGATACAGCACTGGATTTCCAGGTTCGGAGTGCCTCTTCAGTTACATTCCGATCAGGGAAGGAATTTTGCCTCGGCAGTAATCAAAGAACTATGCAAACTACTTGGCATTGACAAAACTCAAACGACGCCATTGCATCCACAGTCGGACGGCATGGTAGAGAGGTTCAATCGAACCATCCTTAATAACCTCTCATTAGTGGTTTCCAGAAACCAACAGGACTGGGACAAGAAATTACCACTCTTTTTATACTGGCTTACCGCAGTGCTGTCCACGAGACTACCGGCTATTCTCCATCACAGATGCTCTTCGGTCTTGACCTTCGTCTGCCTTGTGATCTATTGTTTGGCCGCCCTCCGGATGCTCCTTCATCGTCTGAGGAATATATTCAAGATCTCCAGGCCCGGTTTGAAGTGATGCACAATTTTGCACGAGAGCGAGTCAACTTGGCGACGGAGAAGATGAAGACCCGATACGACACAAGAGCTACTGAACATCAATTCCACGAAGGAGACAAGGTGTGTGGTTGTGGAATCCGACTCGACGGAAAGGACTTTTGTCCGAAATTACAGTCACCTTGGGATGGGCCGTACACAGTCCTAAACAGGCTGAATGACGTCGTGGTTCGGATTCGTAAGTCTTCGAACTCTAAACCTAAAGTCGTTCATTACGACAGGTTAGCTCATTACTATGGCCATAGTACATAATGTAAATAATTGTAAATAGTATAAGACCATGGTCCATTTTTGTTTTTAAATGTGTATTTGATTTGTATTTGATAGCATTTGATTTGTTTTATGTATTGCATTTATTGTTCATGTTGTTTATTATTGTAATGTAATGCTTATTAATGCATTTATGCCACAGTTGTAAGTTTTGCTTCCTGTCCAGGGATTGTACTGCCCGGGACGTGCAGTCCTTGGGAAGGGGGGCAGGGGCAGTGGCAGTGTTACGAATTTGGTATTTAAAAAGCTAATGTTAGTTCAATTAGAAATTAAATGGTTTTATTTCTCGCGCAGTGCAGCGCGTGACGAATATTAAAAGAAAGCTAAGCCGGAAAATTGAAAATACAAGAGCGCGTGCATTAAATATATAAATATCTCTTTTTGATTTCGAGAAGAAAGTACTGGAAAATTCTAGCGCGTGATGATTTTAAAATCTTATAAAAGGAGGAAAACATCTCAGTTTGTAGTAGTTGCTTAGTTTGTTGTTGTTTAGAAAACTACTGTTGTTGATTGTAGCGAATACGCGGATTAGCGTTTCTTAGCTGTTTTGAATTACGTTCTATTGGATTTGAGTAGTTAAAAGATAACTACTGTGAGATATTGTAATACTGCATGATAATTTGAGAAAATTTAAGCATTTTTGTTGTGATAATAATAAATTTTTGTTCATTTTTCATCGGACTTGTGCATTCATTTCATAACGAACCCGTACGCACGCAACAATATTTATTTATTAAATGTTAAATTGTATTTTTAATTTGTGCTTTTGTATTTTTAAGTTTTCAGCTTAGCTTTCTCTTACTATTCGTTACACGCTGCATTGCACGGGGAATAAAACAAGTTTAATCATAATTGTACTAAGATTAGCTATTTAAATACCAAATTCGTAACAATATTTACCATATAATAACATAGCCCAAATTAAACCAAATGGTCAATGGATTAATAGAGAGACGAACGAATATAATTATCCCGAGAGTAGTCTTTTATAACGTGGATAATATGAATGTAAGTGTAAGGAAAACTAACCTGGAATCAGCAAGGAAACCTTCTTAACCTTCTGGACGCGCTGCATTCGCTGAAAATACTATAACTGGAGCAGCGTCTCAAAAAAATACAAAAATCTGTTTTTTAAGTATGCATACTTTTAATACTAAATGAGTTAGAGGAAGTTAAAAAAGCAACATCTTCAGCTAGCATTAATTATGACGAAAATAATGCGCGAGGGGAAAATTGATGAAAAAAATCTAGGTTGTCGCTTTCTGAAACACAATTAAGCACATCATGTGATACATTTTCTATCGGGAAATTTCCTACAAATGATGAGAAAGGGGCGCCCTCCTAGTATTTAGATTACGGGCATCGGCCAAATAATTTCCCAGAACGTAGGGAACACTTCATAAATAAATTTTTTAAAATGCTTGCAGTCTATCCACCAACAGCGACTTTTTTAAAAAATTAAAATGTTGTGAAAGTAAGTACTTATGTGTTTCGAGATATATTTATATTAAATTAGTTAAATTCGTTTCCTAATTTTAAGGATATTTTGTTCTCACTGTTGATTGTTATCATAATATCCATGGGTAAATATGATCACAACAAGCAGCGCTTACTGTATATTCTATATTTAAATATGTGATAAATTATTTATTTTATTATTATTAGTTACAATGATCAGTGTAAAAGATTTGTTGGAGATTATAGAAGGTATAATTTGGTATAAATCAGTAAGTCCCTGAGTTAGACCTTAGCAAAGTTGTAATTTTTAAATTAAAAAAAAAAAAAAAAAAAAAAGCTTCTAAATCAATTCATTCTGAGTCGACTTTCATTCTTAGGATTTTTTGAAGGAAACTGTTCTTTCCTTAAGTGTAATAAAAGAAACATTTTTGTAACCACAGCTGATATCACTAATTTTGCTTAAAAATCCATGTTGGAAGAAATCAGCCTAAAGCTGCACTCATTTAGCCACCAGCTTGATACAGTATTTTAGATATTTTTGTCATTTTTTGGGGGGGTAGAATACGCTTTATTTAATACCATAATAAATGAGATACTTGAGAGAAGGCTAATTTTTTTTCTCCCACAGTCCTCTGGCAACATTCACTTTTCATGGCTATACAATACCTCAAGGATCTCACATATTGTGTAACATCTGGTCAATAATGCATAATCCCAAGTACTTTGAAAAACCCATGGAATTTAAGCCTGAGAGATTCTTGACAGATGACGGACTAAAAGTTTTGAAACCTACTGGATACGCACCATTTTCTTTTGGTATGTAATTCAATATTACTTAACATTTTTCACCTATTAAGGAAAAATTTAGAACTCACACCATGGTTAACTACATAAATGTGGAATGACTAAGCGACGAATGTTCAAATGAACTTAATATCATATTTCTCTCTATATATATAGACGGCTGCATCCAAAAATTAATGGCATAACTTTAGTTTTCGTGAGAAAGAAAATTAGTGCAGTATACTCTGAAACGCTTCTGTTTACTGCATTAACATGACATATTACATCAAAGCGTTGTTTTGGCTTGGTTTATTGCCAGCGAAAATAAATACTTTCTATTTCTGCAATGTTATTTTTTAATCAGCTTGATACGGTTCTGAGTCTTTTCTCTTTAGATCTAAGAACGTCTGTAAGTCACATATATACATAGAATATTTTCATACGGTTTTGATATGTAGATGGCTCATATAGAAATTTAAATTTTTATACGTGTCTTCTGCATATAAAAATAGTACATACAAAATTTTGATATAAAGACTAGATGTATAGTCTCTATACTATGTACTATGCATAGTCTATTAAGCATACTGTATACCATATTCTATGCATTATCTATTAAGCATACTGTATACCATATACTATGCATTATCTATTAAGCATATTGTATACCATATACTATGCATTATCTATTAAGCATACTGTATACCATATACTATGCATTATCTATTAAGCAATAAAGCTGAAAAGTCGTAACGGCGTTACAGCTGCTTAAATGGTGATCTCCAGTCTCTATAATATACTAATTTTTTTATATGTGCACTCTGCACATATATAATACGCATACTGTGCATATACTATACATACAGTACGTATAAAACATAGCACATGCAAAAGTTTGATATAGAGATTAGATGCATAGTCTCTACATCAAATGTTTTGTATACACACTCTGCATATAAAAATTAGTGCATACAAAAAATAGCACATACACAATTTGATACAGAGTCTAGATACATAATCTCTGTCACAAATTTTTTGTATGTACACTTAGCATATAAAAACTCTGCCTGGAAACTGTTTAAACAAACCTTTAGAAAGAAGGTTCTAAATAACAAGTTATACCTAATTAAAGAACTTTTTAAAATACTGGAGTCTGTAATAAGCAAAATTGGCTCTAAACATATTCAGAATTATATGACGTAATCCGCTTATGGCAAAAAAAAAAGGTTGAAAAAATTAATTTTGCTATATAAAAATTAAATTATGTTAGGAAAAGACTTTCAAACAGTCCCTTGAATAAGATTTTGAAATTATCTACTCGTATATGTTTTTCTTACTGTAATATAAAAATTATAGCTTTTAGAATTTTGGCACATTAACTAGACCTTGCGCAGAAGTTAGAAGTGATGAGAGATCTGGCAATTAAGAAAAATGGGTATTTTTCCGTTTTGCCGGCGCAGGCAATAAAGTCGCCAATAATGGCACAACTGATGCCAAACGGAATATCCTTGCTGGTAACCTTTTACGCCTCATCTCGAAAACAAGTCGCAGCCATTTCTTATCAGATTGATTGTTTCTTTCAATGCTACACAATTACATAGAATTTTTACCAGATAGTTCAATTCTATGCCCTAAGGCCATTCGCGGTAATTAAGTCAATTAGGATGCAATCACACCGCTCATCTGACGGCGAAAAGGTGTTACTTTGTTTGAAGTTTTGCACGGATTTTGGGAATTTTTTTGGGCGAACGATAAGACTTATGGTAAACCCATTGTTGGACAATTTATTTATGGTAACCGATACTTTATTGTCATTTTATTTTTTAAATAATGCGTTTTATTATGCATAAATTCCGTGTTTTAAATATTAAAAATCAATTAAATTTTTGCATTTTTATTTGAAATAAAATTTTATTGTTTATGATATTTTATATAATTTTATGTTGTGGATGATGACGTCACCTTACTTTAAAAGAAATTGGTTTTAATATCTGTAAATTTAATCTAATGTTTTAAACATTATTTATGGCTGTTAAATATTAAAATACAATTTAATTTTGCATTTTTAAATGATTTTATTATGTATGATTATTTAAATAATTTTAATTCTATGCGTGATGTAATCAGCTTCTTGAATGGTTACTGAATATTTGTGCATTACCGCGCCATTTTAAAATTTTATTATTCATCCCCTCGAGTTCCTTAGATTTCAAAGCGAATGGATATGTCCGCTTCGAAGATGAATCTTGTTATTGGTAATTGCCAAGAATTATTTGTATCGCAATCAAAAATTGCCTTTGAGACCTTCTTTTGGCCAACCTGGCTTTCCTAATCCTAATCAAAGATTTATTTATAAATTGTTACAAGGGTCAGAGGAAATTTATTTTAAAATTTTAGAGAAAACCTAGCTAATTGCTTCTTCAATGAAGTGCGAGAGGTGTGGATCACAGATGAAGATCGTTAAAAGAGCCGATTCTGAGGACGGCTGTATATGGTATTGTGGTCACGGTGGTAGAAATAACAGCTGTAACGGTAAAAAAAGTATTAGACATTCCTCCTTTTTAACCGGCAAAATTTTTTTCATTGATATCTAAATTATGATTCCGATTTTTTTGTGGTACTTATTAATATACGACAGGTAAAATACTCAAAAAAATGTAAGTACATATTTTCTTTTACTTTATAATTGTATATTTCAATTTTTATTAAAAAAATTAATATATTGTTTTCAAAAGTTGCTGAGGTATTTATTGCCTCATATGTTTTAATGTTAAATAAGTGTATACTATAAAACTTGTTTTAAAGTATTCGAATTTAAGTAATGTTTTAATTCTTTTAAACGTTGGTATGATGTTTTTAATTCGATATTCAATTTAAGTAATATTTTAATCTAATTAAACGTTGGCCCAATATTTTTATAGTGGTGTTTTGATTCTATTTTTTATATATGAAAGTAATAATTTAACCTTACTTTATTTTATACTCTTAGTAAATGTATTTATTTACATTTGCCAGTTATCTTAAAAAACAACGTTTCAACAATAAATTAATCCATTATTTTTAACAATATTAATTTTTTAAGTTTCGAATACTTCGAACTATTCGAAACTATGCGTAAAAAACGTAAAATACGTAAAAGCAGCGTTTTTCAGGATGGCTGACGATTGTAAAAATTGCGCTAATGTAAATCGCCAAAAATCCGTCCAACCGTCTACCAAAGTAGCACCGACGAAAATATAGAAAATGCAAAGTCAAGGGTTAAATTCATCATTATCTGCAGAAGACTACAGCCAGCCCTAAACGCGCTTCCAATACAGTAGTTTGGTTTCCGTAAAGGGTTGTCTACCACCATGCATCTTGTCAGAATCGTTGAATTTTTAAGCGCAGCTATTCATAAGCACCAGACAACAGCTTTCCTTATGCTGGACGTGGCAAAAGCCTTTGACCGCGTCTGGCATAACGGACTTATCTACAAGGTTGCTTCCCTCGATCTCCCCAGGAAACGATTTTGATTCTTCATTTCTTTCTAACTGATCTATCTTTCTATGTCAGGCAGGGCGATGTTTATTTTGAAAACACATTAATTAAAGCCGGCGTCCCCCAGGGGAGCATCCTTGGACCTATTCTCTATCTATGTTAAGGACTTTCCTATGATTGAAAATACAAACTGCATCACCGCCTACTATACGCGGACGATACCGCCATTCTTTCTAGTTCACTTAATCCACGACATGCCATGATCAGAATACAAAACCACACATACGAGATAGAGGAATGGTGTCGCAAATGGAGGACGTCCATTAATGCCACAAAATCCAAATTATTACTGATAGAACGGCACAGAAGTAAAAACATTGATGCAGATCTGACCCTCTTTAATGAAACAGTACACAAAGTCATACTTCGGAGTTCGTTTTAACGGCTCGCTTACATGGGGTCCTCACATTTCCATGACTATCGGGAAAGGAGTCTCTAGAAAGCTCCGAAACTTTCTTGACGCCTCCTCACCACTGGATCTTGCTCTCAAAAGCATATTTACACATCAATATTAAGACCCATCCTTACATATGCCTCCCCTGCATAGTGCTCTCTTACCACCTCCGTATTAAATAAATTGCAGATTTTCCAAAACAACTACTTACGAAATATCGCAGGAGCCCCTGGTTCGTTCACAATGAACAGCTACACAGAGATCTTAAACTCCAAAGTCTGGCGTTATTCATCAATAAATTAAATAATAATTTTATCAAGAAAGCCATCATCAACGCGGAGGTAAGTTATTCAGACAATTTTAAGTACGAGCTCCTAGAAATTGACATCAATTCAAGGCCCTATGCAACCCATATTTATCGGAATCCCCCATAAATAATCCTAGCTTCTTTCAGCCAATTTTGAAGTTTCAAAGTATGACATTTTCATTTACACTGGCCTGGTCCACATCTACACAATCTTCCTGCAGTCCCTTGTCAAGGTATTCCTGTGAAGCACTGTATGTTATGTCTCCCCTAACCGGCGTTATTTGAGGTGCCTGGATATAATTCCTGCTGAAACAGGCATATCAAAAGTATCAAAGTATCAAAGTAAATTCATCAATTCTAATGAGAATGCACTAGCAAAGCATAGCACTGCGGTTTCACATAATGTCCGAATAAGCTATTCGTACGAATTGAAATAATTCTTGCATTTAAACTTGTATTCCAAATTAAGATTTAACTTGGTGCTACTTTGGTAGACGGTTGCACGTATTTTGACATTTTTTTTTGGGGGGGGGCGAACGATACGACTGATGGTAAACCAATTGCCAAAGACGTTATTTATGGTAACCGATACTTTGTTGCAATTTTATTTTTAAAATAATGCGTTTTATTATGCATAAATTCCGTGTTTTAAATATTATTTATGGCTTCTAAATATTAAAAATCAATCTAATTTTGCATTTTTATTTGAAATAAAAATGTTATTGCAAATGATAATTTATGTAATTTTATATTGTGGATGATGTAATGAAGGACGTCACACTTTAAAAGTAATTGGTTTTAATATCTATAAATTTAATCTAATGTTTTAAACATTATTTATTGCTGTTAAATATTAAAATACAATTTAATTTTGCATTTTTAAAATGATTTTATTATGTATGATTATTTAAATAATTTTGCATTTTTAAAATGATTTTATTATGTATGATTATTTAAATAATTTTAATTTTCGTCATGATGCAATCAGCTCCCTGATTGGTTAGTGAATATATGTGCTTTACTGCGCCATTTTAAAATTTTATTATTCATCTCTTCGAATTCCTTAGATTACATTTTTCAATTTTTTTTACAAATATTTTCCCTTAGATTACCCTTTTTAAATTGTATTACATTTTTCAATTTTTTTCATTGATATCTAAATTATGATTACTATTTTTTTGTGGTACTTATCAATATGCGACAGGTTAAATACTCAAAAAAATGTAAGTACATATTTTTCTTTTACTTTATAATTGTATACTTCAATTTTTATTAAAAAATTAATACACCGTTTTCAAAAATTGCCGAGATATTTATTGGCACATATGTTTTAATGTTAAATAATTATATCCTATAAAACTTATTTTAAAAGCTTTAAGTCTAAGTAATATTTTAATTCTTTTAAACACTGATATGATGTAAATTCGATATTCAATTTAAGTAATATTTTAATTTAATTAAACGTAGGCGCAATATTTTTTTAGCGGTGTTTTGATTCTATTTTTTTATATATGAAAGTAATAATTTAACCTTACTTCTTAGTAAATGTATTTATTTACATTTGCCAGCCATCTTAAAAAACAACGTTTTCAACAAAAAATTAATCCATTATTTTTAACAATATTAATTTTTTTAAAGTTTCGAATACTTCGAACTATTCGAAACTATGCGTAAAATACGTAAAATACGTAAAAGCAGCGTTTTTCAAGATGGCTGACGATTGTAAAAACCACGCCAACAATTGCGCTAATGTAAATCGCCAAAAATCCGTGCAGCTGTCTACCAAAGTAGTGGGGCGGTGGGCTGAGAATAAATAGTTGTAGAAAGCTAGACATTTCTCCATCGGTGTGAAGGGAAATTCCTAATGTTTGCAAAAATCAAAGTATAAATTTTGTTTTTTCGATTGTTTGTCTTTCCATTTATTCCTATTCTTAGAATCTGTATGTGCTTTACCTTTCTTTCAGGGAAGCGCAACTGTCCGGGCGAAGTTGTAGCTATCATGACGATATATCTCTACTTCGTTAGCATCATGCAGAAATTTAAAGTAAAGACGCCTCATGGCCTGCCAGCAGATTTCGATTACATATTTGGTGGAGCTCTTCTTCCTAGGCCTCAGAAGCTATGTTTCATAGAACGTTAAACGAATTTAATTCAGTGAGTGAATGATCATAAGAATGAATATCATAGATTTTTCTTAATAAATAATCATCTACAAGCGCCAAAATATGATGACTATAAGTAATTTTTGTATTTGCAGTGTGAAGCTATACACTCTGAAGTGCCACTTAATTAGGGGTAGCTAGTCGCTAACGAGTTGAGCCTCCTCTGGCCTTTATAATGGCTGCCAAACGAATAAGTTTCTGGAAGCATTCTAAGAGAATGGCTTGCCAAACATCGGATAGAGCTGTCTATAATTTAGGAAGAGTCGATAGTGTTGTGTGATGAGGTTTTAAACCTTTCCTCCAAAACGTCCGAAAGATGCTCAGTAGAATTTAAGTCAGAGCTTTTAAGTAGCCAATTTATGACAGAGAATTCACAAGAACGCTCATCCAACCTGGCATTAGCCAACCGGGACCTGCGAAGAGGTGCAGTTTCATACTCCATTTCATTGCGAATGACAGGACAACATAAATGGATGGACATGATCTCCCAGCAACTCTACGTACCGAATCATATTGCGGGAGGTTGCCACAAGTACAAAAGATCCCAAACACTGCCAAGAGAAAACACTCCAGACCATGATTAAGCCACCATGGCTTTGTACAGTTCCAATCTGCCATACAGGATTCATGGCTTCAAGAGTCAGTTGCCATATTTCTCAGCCACCCATCGGTATTAATTAGACGGAATCGAGACTCATCACTCCTTGCAACTCATTTCAAGTCCACTAGTCTATTCCCTGTATTCTCTTGCCCAGGCAAGAAGTGCAGCTCGATGGCATGCATTCAGCAAAGGCACTCTCCTGTATCTACGGCTTCCGAAGCCCATATTGTGAAGCGAGCGTTGCACGATCCGTTTTACTGACTATACGACTGTTGCCCTGATTCAGCTGGGTGGTAATTTGAAATAATGTTTGGCTTCATTGACTATGAACAATACGGCTGAGTCGTCTCATACACTTGTTCTAGGTTAATTGTTTTTTGCAATTTGCCCGATCGCTATTTCTTTTTCCCACCGTCCGTGCATTTTCGGTGTACGCTTGACTCTGCCCACCTTGAAAATTCTCGCCCGCTGAGGATTTTGAAATTGAATGGTCCATGCGTCGAGTACCTACTATCTGTCCGCAATCGAAGCTGTCTAAATCAGAAGTTTTACCCATAGTGTTAATTGAAAAGCCTGATTAACAACAACCATAGTACTAGCTATATGTGCATTTACCACAACTTCCTCACGTGAGAACACATGCCGCGCAGCGCTATAAAATTTGCATAGCCATGTCTATCCCTAATTCAGTGGCACTTCAGTGTATTTGGAAATCATAATGTCATAATATTGAGTAACGATTTCAATTTATCTGATATATAACGATAAATAATTGTTAAATTCGTATTAATATTATGAATCCCTGCAAGATCGTTAAGCAAGCAGGTTCGGAAATGTTTTTATTACAGTCGGCAGTTAACATGTGTACTAAAAAAGTACTGCAGTTTTATGTTTTTAAAAATACAACACTTACTATAGCGATATTAAAACTTTTTCGACAATTAAACAAATAGAATTAATCTTAGAAATTAAAAATGCCAGATCTCCATACAGGGCCAGTGAATGGATGAGCAAAAATAAATAAATAAAATAATAAATAATATGGAATTAAAATTAAATAAAAGATAAATTATAAATTATAATACACTGACTTTCGTGAAAAATGCAACATCATGAAGGAATTGTCGGAAATGAATGAAATTTACTCCACATATTTTACTGATAGTGGTACAAATAAATGATTCAGATTTGATAACAGATTCAAATTTGCAAGACAAAAAACAAAACGAACGCCGTAAATCAGTACTTCGTGTGTCCGCCACACTAAGCGATAAGAGGCTGTAGACGTCGTGGCATTGAATAATACAGGTTCTGAATGCAATTCTGGGGAATGGCATACCATATGGCTTCGACTTGACGCCAAAGTTCAATTTTAGTGTGTAACCCTACCAGCTGTACAACCAAATCGCCGACCGATTAAATCTCAGACATGCTAATTGGGCGACATGTCCGGGGAATGAGCAGGCCATGGAAAAAACGGAACTTGTTGTGCCCTAAAGTAATCTTGTATAGTCTGAGAAACACGTGTACGGCCATTAATCCTGCTGAAATACAGAACCCGGAATGCATCGAAGAATGGGAAGGACCGCCTGGTTCCACAACTCCACTTTGAAGTTGCCTTCAATCTGAACTACTAGATGACATCGACAATTATACCCAATAGCTCCCCACATCAGGCGTTTCCCTCTGTATCTGACGCGTACTTATCCATCATTGTACTCCAGATTGTAGCAAGATTCATCAGAGAAAACAACTTTTTGCCACAGCGCACGCCACGCTATGTCCGCTATATTCAAGTGTTTTTGCCGTGCCCATTGAAGTCAGAGGTGTCTGTGATTTAACGACAGGGAAATCCTGCATCGAGGAACCCTTGCACGCAGTTCATGCTGTAAGCAGTGTAAGCAGACGACGACGAAACGTAGAGCTAGACAACGCAATACCTATAGCCGTGCTCCCACGTTGTACTAACACACCAGATGACGCTGTACGATCCGTTATAGCCATGTGGATGTGGTGTTTGTTATCCCGTGCCGTTGTGCTCTTGTGTGCCCCACTGCCAGGATTTCGCGTTGTTTATCCTGTGTTCACTTCTTCCAAACACGCAAGGCTGTTGCGTCATTACGCTGCGTGCGGGCTGTGATTGCTCGATACAAAAGTCCACCCTCTCGCATATCGACGATGAGGCCTCTTTCGAGTTCCGTTAATTATTGGTATAGCAACCTGCACTGTTGACGAGACATACTGGCCACCAATTAAACGTCACCGTAGACAGAGGACGATAAACAGATTTCAACATTCCTAGTTTCAGTATTAGGCCGCAAATGTTGTGCAGTATACACCACGTTTTCCGGCTCTCTGAAGTTGGGTCGCTGAGGACGCATCACAGTATAGATATCTCACGCGAGCATTCAACAAGCTGGGATTGGAGGTGGTCAGTGGAGGGCGTGACCAATCGTCGCGTGGGCTTCAAGAAGCAACGTGAACTATAGGTAGGTCCTGGAAATCCTAAATTGAGAAATTCAAGCAGAAATACAAATTACAGCATAAAGTAATGCACATGTTTGATAATTTTCTTAATTCCAGAGTGCAAAACCAATTTTAGCAGTAGCGAGTTTTAAGCATCAAAGAACTGATTTTCAGCCAGACTCGAGCTTCATAGATGACAATATACAATTTCAGAGTAGCAAAATATGTAATATGTACAATAACAGAAAGAAATTTTGGTGAAATTGGGCATGTGACCCATCAGAATGATCAGAAAAATCTGACCTCGATCATGGGAGTGGTGAAAAATGAGCAGGGTTTAGTTTACAGTTCGCGCATTTGGATAGTGGTCGGCAGAATTTGAGCTCTCTGACTGGCTCAGACGTGGTTCGTTCGTAGATGCGGCATAAACACGCAGCCGCGTGATAGTTCAGTCACTCACTACATAAAAAATTAACCAGAGTCCTAATCAGTTAAGATAATATAAATCAAACTCCAAGGAATAAAAAAGTCCAAATACCTGGAGCGCAATAGCTAAGACACATATTTAAGTGAGATAGTCGATTTTAAGATCTTTGTGCTGCTTTTCATGACTCATATAGTGGGCATTTGTCATGTACCTTACAACTTTGGACTGGAGAACTTGCAATTGTTTTCTGTCTCGCAGTAGCAGCCGCCCAAGCAGGGGATGCATACGTTATAATAAGTCTGATTACAGACAGGTAGATATGCCTTTTCATGGTGAGGTCAAGTTTGGAAAATTTACCAATTAACCCTTGAGGCACTGTGTGCTCTCTGGGCACACCTAGAAACTTTTTTCTGTACGCACAGAAAAATTGAATGCGAAAGGATTTATAGGTTAATCTGAACCTTCTTTAGTTATAGTAGATAGCAACCCAAAACAAACCAGCATATATTTTAACCATGTTTAGTTTTTAAAGACACTCATTTTTCAAAGAAATCTTCCAGACTCTTTTTTAGGATATAAAAGGAATTGTTTGAAAAGAAATTTCTATGTTATTTTCTTGGCTGTATGCTAATCTCCTTATTCTATATTAATTTTAAATTTTTACCTTGAAATCTTGACCAAACTCGAATGGCGAACATCAGGTGTTCCCAAAGTGAGAGGCAACTGTATCTTTGTTTCTCCGCAGCTCATCGATCAGTTCATTCACAATAGAAAGGTGGGTCCACATCTGTGTTTCATTTCCTCTTTTTCTCTCTCTCTCTCTTTTGAGGGGAGGTTTGGTTATCAACTAAGAAATCGTTGGGGTCATTTCCTGGAGGTCAGGGTTAATTTTATTAGTTCTCTTTCTCTCTCGTTCAAGGAAGTTTTGTTAGAGCTACGTTTAATGGTTTTAGCGTTTATTTAATTTTATTTTATAGATTATAATTTCAAATTGTAGATATAATATTAGTTTATTTTTTATTTTCCAAATGGATTGGAGAGGGCTGACCATTTCTGAAGCACTGAAAGTGCTACACAAATTGCTTTCAGATAGTGAGTCTGATACGGATCGGGGACATGGGCAAAACATGCAATATTGGGTTGTGCGTTTTCAAAGGTGGTGTCACTTTCTTTTAAAAATACCACCATGGAACAAAAAAAAACAAAAAACAAAAATAAATAAAAGACGAAAATATAAATATGAAATGTAAATAATGTAAATATCATATACCTAAGTTACTTTTTTTTCATTCATACACATGATATCATCTCATTATAAGAGCTTTTTAGGAGGTGTAGAGTAGCAGGCCTCGACATGGCACACCCTGTATAAAGCTAAATCTGCTACGGTATTCAGAATCTAGTGTTTTTTTAATCATAGTCAAAAACTCTTACTCTTTTACGCGCTTCCCAGCAATGCTCGTTTCAGCACTCTTTTCGAAGCTCTATTCATTCAGTGTAAGCAGCCATATACACAGAATTAAAACGATAAGTGCTATGTTCACAAAATTTTACCTGTGTACTCCTCT